ATGGATGGATGGATGGATGGATGGATGGATGGATGGATGGATGGATGACGTGTGAAACCGGTCCTCTGCAAGCGCCAGACAAGGTTCCATGCACGGCTTTGCCTTTGGGATCCTGGGCCAGCAGTGGTTGCTAAATGATTTGCGCGTCCTTTGGAAGACGACTTGTGAAACGGAGCCAGGAGCTCTTGCCAGTGCTTTGGCCTGTGTTGTGGAATAAACAATGGAACCATGGATCCCAAGACTGCTTTTGATGTATCAATATCATCAACCGATTCCAGGTGCGTCAGCAGCTCCACCAATTGCGACGTGCTACTCTGCAATTGTATGTAAAGAATTTTAGAGTATATTAATATATATATATATATACAGTAATTAGCATAGTTTACTCCTTGAACACTCTTGACAATCCAAGCCAATTGAATCCAATTGATGTTTTCTTCTGCAAACTCGGGAAGCATCCTTGTTGATGGCCATCCAACGACCCGAAGATTCGGCCCGGTGCGTCCAAACTCCGTCCTTTCATCGCATTCTTCTGCAGATTGATGTCCCGACAGACCAAGTCGACGCCTGAAAGAGAGAAAATATATATAGTATATTATGTTATATTATACTATATTATGTTATATTATATATAGTTATATAATATATATATAATAGACTATATTTAGATGACAGTATGCTGTACGTTGTGAATTTGCCGTCGGGCCGCACGTGATTTCCTCACCTATTCGTCACCTACCTGGCCACCGATTGCCTCCCCACATCGTCACTTCGGATCTCTCCGTCCAGTGAGCGGGAATCCTCGGGCGGGGCCCACCTGAAACCACAGCAGACACCACCGAAACAGTCGCAATGACCCTCAATTAATTCGCTGGATTTTTTGGGGGTCTAAAGCAGACGTGTGTTTTTTAGTCCTTTTTCCTTACGGTGATCAATCGTTCTTTGGGTCTTCTTCTGTTCGGAATCTTTCGCCATCCTTCAGTCACTTACGAGGTATCCCCGGAACACTCTCACACACGCTCGCTGCACAACAAAACACGCACGTCCGGAGCGCATGAAAGCGAAGGACGGTCCTGTCCTTCCTTTTCCGAAAACGGCAGGTCCTTTCCTTGGCACCCGGGCTGAAACCTTCGGCGAAAGGGTTCGGCTCGTAATTGGGCATGATCAGGCTGACCTCGCTCCAGAGGCCACGGAGTTTTCTGCGGTTTGATTCGGTTGTCTCGCACACGGTGGAGAGCTGATTCTTCTTGGAGACCCGGTGTGCGATCTCAGACTTGAAAGGTGGTTCATGTTGAATGTGCTTAGCTTTTTTCAAGCAACTACAGCAACTACACATCATTGTGGGGGAATGTGGGGTTTGCTTGAAAATGGGGGGGACAATGCGATGGGAAGGACTGTTACATTCATGACAGCGTGGTTCCCAAAGTATGCTTCTCCTAACATTGTTCTTTTCTCAATGTGTGATAGTTGGTGCCCTGCCAAAAAGGCCAACCAACAAACTATTGCTTTGATATGCCGCTATGCTAACAACTTGTTGTACTCTGATGCCCTCACTGGCACATGCTGCGTTTGTTATGGCACAGCTGGCTTTTCCAGACTACTAGAGCCACCTATTCCCACATCTATGGAACACATGCATGCCACTCTCGCCACTCTCCTCCCAACCCCTCCAAACAGCCACCCGCAGAGGGCCACCGAGCTGCAAGGTTGATGTAATTATTCACGCTCTGGGCCACCGATTCCATGAAAGAGTACTTGGAATCCATCCTGGATTCGTTTCGATGTCTCGTTCGTTTCGACGTCTCGTTTGGTCACCAAGCATCGGGGAGAAAGATTTGGGTGAGGAACTGGTTGATTCAACCCGTCTTTCAGAACAGTTCCTGGTTTATCCATAGACGTATCTTTTTGGTTGATTGTTGCTGTGCCCTTTAAGTAGAAGGGGAAGGCTCTTCTGTGCTGCCTTTTTCACATCTTGTGAGCCTAGTAACCTGGTGACAATCAGGTCAGACTACATATCCGCAAAAGGACGTATCTGAATCTAAACTCTAAACAAACAATGGAGAGCTTGTGTTATTTCATGTGCCTCAGGGTTCCTGGATTTTGTGCATCAACCTCGTGGTATTAAGAAACAATAACTGACATGTGCGAGGATTGAACAAGCTTGAAAAAGATAAACAAAAAAAAGACTTGACCAGTGCAACCTTCTTGATTGCATCTGTTGCGTCCCACCAACTGCATTTCTCAAAAAAAGTATAAAAAAAGGGTCCTCAAATTCGAAGCATGAAAAGCCGCCAAGGCCTGTGTTGCAAAAGAAGAAAAAGAAGAGCAACAAATCGCAACGCCCTCTACGTCTCCAGTGGTTGGAGGCCAACTTGGAGGGTGAGACTCGCTATAGCAGCCCATCAGCTGTCCCAAGAAGGGCAGTGCCGGAGTAGCTGTCCCGTTGGGATGATCATCCCAACGGCACGGCCCGTCCGAACTGACTCACCCCTTCCGTAAAGACATGACTTCGCCGAGGATCGAAGACTCCAGAAGGTAGTGCAACGCACAACCTGAAAGCGCAGAGCATCGAACGTTTCTGCAGGCCGGAGAGACCTGACAAGCTTACTTCAAATACATTATCAATCAGGAGAATGGACCAATGGACCTGAATTAGGTCCAACTCCATGTGAAGGACGCAGTCGGCCGAGCAGTAGAGCAGAGGATGGACTTTTCATCGCTTGGGATACTCTCCCAAAGCGGGTAGCCTCTCCACTGGTCCTTCAGAATCTCCACTGGTCCGCTGGCTGCATGTCTGCTTCTTCTACAGTAGCAAAGCTTGTGGCGAGGTGCCTCTAGGACTCTAGAATGTTGGTGTTTGTCACACTTCATTTTGAATTTAGGCATTCCAAGGGACTCGAAAATGAGTTGCAGTTCTTCCGTAGAAGATCGTAGCTCCCAGGCTGAAAGTAGGCCTTCAGCAGCGCAACCATCGCCTGTGAGAAAGTGCCGCTCAATAACGACGATGAAACGTGCAGTGCTCTGTGGTCATTGCTTCCGCAGTGCAAAGACTTCTACTTCACCTGGTAGAAAACCCCTTTGCTTTACATCCTGGAGCACTGCAATCCCCACTAAACCATCCATTTGGGGTCATGGTCGTAGTGACTGCAGTAGTTTAAGTGTGTTTCGATCGCCGCAGGGTCCGGTACGACAAGCGCTTTGTCACCAGGATCGAAGAAGCATCCCCACCGCAACCAAGTTCCTCCACAGAACCACCCAAAGCACCGCCCTGGAACTAGGGTTTAGGTGTTGATCGACTGCCATATACAGCAGTGGACGTCAGAAACTCTTGTTGCATGGTGGGTTGTGTGGGTATAATTCTCCAGCAACAGACAGAGACTGGATTTAGTAGTAGAGGCACTTACATGAACCTCTCAGAGCTCATTTCGCTGAAAACCGAATCAGCTTAAAGGGATATTCTGATATTCAAGCTTGCGAGGCCAAAAAAATATCGCGCCTCTGTACTTACAGACCCTACATACTCAGTATAATTGGATAACTACAGTAATTTGTGAAAAAAAATAAACCGGCAAGGGACCCCAAATAGTGTAAAGAGAAACAGATTGAAATTCAAAACCCTTCAAGAACATCTGCACATCGAGATTCACGAGCACAAGTGAGAGCACACATATGAGAGCATATGGGAGCACATATGAGAGCACATGAGAGCACACATCTGAGAGCACAAATGTGAGAGCACATACAAGCACAAATCTCAGAGCACATAGGCGAGTACATAGGAGCATTTCGAAGTTCACAATGTACCGCGCCTGCCACGAAATCTGCACATCGAGGTTCACAAAGTACTGCGCCTGCCACGAAATCTGCACATTGAGATTCACAAAGTGCTGCGCCTGCTACGAAATCTGCACATCGAGATTCACAAAGTGCTGCACCTGCCACGAAATCTGCACTTCCAGACTCAGCAAGTGCTGCACCTGCCACGAAATCTGCACATCTAGATTCACACAGTGCTGCGCCTGCCACGAAATCTGCACATCGAGATTCACAAAGTGCTGCGCCGGCCACGCAATCTGCACATCTAGATTCACAAAGTGCTGCGCCTGCCACGAAATCTGCACATCGAGCTTCACAAAGTACTGCGCGTGCCACGAAATCTGCACATCGAGATTCACAAAGTGCTGCGCCTGCCACGAAATCTGCACATCGAGCTTCACAAAGTGCTGCGCCTGCCACGCAATCTGCACATCGAGATTCACAAAGTGCTGCGCCTGCCACGAAATCTGCACATCGAGATTCACAAAGTGCTGCGCCTGCCACGAAATCTGCACATCGGAGATCCAAAATGAGCAAATTGCACGAGGCTTTCGCAAATTTTGAAATGCGTTTCAGAAATGCTGTGCCTGCTACGAAATCATGCCTGCAGGTCATACGAAATGCTGCACTGGCCACGCAAAAGCATCCTCAAGTTCAAATTCCAAAAATGCGACCCCTCTCACGAATTCAACCGTTTCACCTCAAAATATCGCATCCATGGTGCGGATTCCCTGCGCCTGCCACGTGAAACGCAGTCCTGCGAATGACACACGCCTGCCAACGTTTTTGCAACGTCCACAAAACACTGCGCCTGCCACGAAATTTGCAAAGTCTCCGATTCCTTGCACCTGCCACGTAAAATGACCTTTTCGAGGCTCCAATGTGTCGAATTCCTTGCGCCTGCCACGCAAAATGCACTTCATGTCCGAAAACGAGCACGGCACCCGAAGCGCGAAAACTGCGACACCCACTTTATGCGAGCCTGCGCAGTCGAAATGGACATGAGGAATTCAAAAAGTTACTTTTGTGCAAGCCGGCCCACGCAAAATGCCCGGCCCACACGCGCGAACCCTGATCTAAACCCGGCCCTTAACTCTTACCGTAAGAACCCCTTAGTGCGGAGCACTATTTGGGGAAATATGATAAATAATGTTAGTAAGAAAGGGATGATACTAGTATGATATTAGTAAGAAATAACCATACTTGCCATGGAAACAACAAACACACCAATCAAACATCCACAGCGGGATCTCTTCGCCGGAGATTTGGCCTTCGTACGTCGTGAAACATTCTGCGCGCCTTGGGACTTTGTGTGGTGTGACCAAGCAGAATCAGCTCGTGGCCACGTGTAAAACGCGCATGGCTGGTAAGGCCTTGACCTGGTTCCAGGCGGAAAAGGGGTGGAATGGAAAGAATGAGTGGTGGAATGGATGGTTGGGAGAACCCCAAAAAGAGGGCACCAGCAGGTTTCTCTCTGATTTGTTCTCGCATAAACGCCCTATAATTTTAAAAGAGGGTGATAATTGACCGTCCCACACTGGCCGCGCGAAATAGACGTGGTAAAACGCGGTAAGAAAAAAACGTTCTTCCTCCTGAAGTATACTGTATATATAACTATCAATATCATGTGAGTTATTGTGAGTTCGGAGTTCGCTGCTGGCTTTGGACACCCCCTGCTCATGTCGTCCTCAGTGAATCCAGCTTCGGGGCTGACATTCGGCTTGGCTTTGAGGACCACGAAATGGGGATCAATGCGCTTTGGTCTCCGAAACGCTCGCACAGAAAAAGCACGAGCTCTGTGGGTCTGTTGATTTTTGGCAGATGTTGCTCCTAGTAGCGATGCCACGAGCCCCTAATAGCGTTGTTCCGCCAGGCTAGTCTGTTGGTCTTTCACTCTTCTGCGAAGAAGTTTGAAGTTTCCGGGAGGCAAACCTCAGGGTTCCCTTGATTCTCAGGTGATCAACTTCCTCAAACCTGCCAACCCGCGGTGATTGCTTGGGAGTTTCAACCACGGGTCCTCCCTGGCGCGAGTCCACGGTGTCCACGATGTCCGTGGGCCCGGCTGACGCAAATGCCGTTGCCATCGAACTGATACCTCGGCCGACGACTCGGCCGACGCTGGCGCAGCAACACGTGGCGCAGCAACACCATGTGTTGAATGCCAGCTCGAAACGATCAGCGGCTTCAAGACACCTTCTCTGGCAAAACCTGGCCCTCCAAAAAACAGAAAGAGAACAACAGCTGTTTCTGGATGCTTGGGGTGCCCCACCTACGCTTCACTCCACTTCAACCTCTACCAACCACTCTCACCACTCAAGGGAGACCGTGCCCCCTTTACTCTCCAAGGAGCTCCTCATTGTCGATCAGCACCGAGGTGTGATACGCTTGGCCCAGGCCGGGGATGTAGGGGCCCAGTTCAGAGGCTGCCAGCATCACCTGCGAACCAGCGCGGACCGACCGATCGGCGTCGGCCACACCGCCCGTTGCCGTCGTCGTGTCATGTCTGGGAATTGTGGACGGTGCGTGCTGTGGGCCGTGGCCTGACTCATGGTTGTCTTTGAATTGAACCATGTGTTCTGCGGCACGAAAAAAGCAGAAAAACCAACCACGTGAAGAGGACCAAGGGTCTTGCAGCGGCTACACGGCACATCCTCGTCGTCTCCTCCCGCATCTTACCAGCACCGTTCGTTCCGCGAGCCGATGTTCCACCGCTTCCGTCGTAACCCGGTGGTTGGACCTTCCACTCGACTGAGCTACATGTGGTTGAAACGACTGCATTAGATCAATAAGCCACGGCCTGAAGAGGTTTTATAAGGGTTTTACGATCCAAATTGGGTTTATGAATCAAGGCTGTCAGCTTATGGCATGCAAAAGACCGTTTTGTTCTTATCGTCAGGAAGGCGCCGGAACCGGTGCAGGTGCTTGCCATTCTTTCATTGATTCTTTCGCATGCCGACACCGCGTGGCTTGTGGGTGTTTCGTCGTTGGTTTCACGGACTTTCCACATTGGCATGCATTGAGATGAATGCTAGTTGAATGTTGCCAGGCCCTCGTGAGCTAGGATGCATTCGCCTTTCCCATAAACCATCCAGAAAAGAAAGACTCTTTTTTGAGCCTTAAGAGCTTTGCCTCCAGACCACATCGCCATAAACCAACATCCTTAAACTCTGTAACTGTATTATTGTAATATAGAGACCTTCCTCCCACAAAAGCTTACCTTGTTTAGTGTCTTTTTTGAAATCCTTCCACCACCCTTGCTCACATCTATCGCAGTGAGAATAACACACGCGGCTAAGCTCTGGAAATCAGTTCACTACAACCGTGGACATGTTTGTAGAACGACTCTCATATGCTGTGATCATCCCTTCATTCAGTAGGTGGACGCCCTTTGGAAAATGCGCAAATGAAAGGATGTTGCATGCTCTTGCTGGGTGACCAAACACACCAGGGAAATCATGGTCTGTGAGTGTTTGGGGGCCTCAGTTTGGATTCATTTCAGCGTTACCCCTGCACCAAAACAGCGTTCGTCTGATTGCCTGATGGGTGTTCGTTTTCGTTTTCGTCTCTTCCAAAGTGCCTGGTAAGTGCGAGGTGTGCTCGATGTTGACGAGAAGAGCATTGGATGTACAGGTGCTTCCTGTCAGAAATTGCAGCGTATTTCGTGGTTTAGTTGAAGACAAATTCCTCACCAGGATTTCCCTATCATATCTCCGGAAGAAGCATTTGCTAGAAATGCCAAAGCACGGAAGGAGTCAAAAACCCAATGCGAAAAAAGCAGTTTGAGGCGGCCAACCGAGGAACATTGCCATGAATCCAGAGATTCATGGCATCCAGGCAGGTGGACGAGGCACTCTTAGAAAACGCTCAAAAAACGCACCGCGGCCCTCCTTCTTCCAAACCAGGCTTTTTACAGCTCAAACATGCTCAACATCTGAAGAAATCGGCTAGGCCATTGATTCTTCCCACGGTCTTTCCTGGGTGGGGAATGTTGTTGGCGAACTCGCACATGAGGTTCATCAAAAAGTGAATCCTTCATGAAAACTTGTTTCGCGAATTCAGCTTGGCAGAACACTTTTGTGTTCCTCCAAACAGAAGCTTTCATAGCTCTCGAGGATCGATCTGGGAAATGTCATGTGTATCTGTCGAGCCACGCTCCTTCCACGTTCTGCGCTCACCATGCCCTCCAGCATGACCATTTCCTTCGTGGCACCGTCCCAAGCGCAGTCCCAACGGCCCACCCCTTCCAGCTCCTCGTGGTCAATCGCCTCGGGACCAGTCGCTTCACTCGTGGTCCTCGTCCAGAAGGATCGGCGCCGGAGGTAGCGGAAGTGCCCATCCGAAAAGAGGGCAATCCATTCAATGACCTCTTCCTCAACGTCCCAGTCTAACGACTGAGATTGGTTCAAGAAGCATTTCCCGCGACACCATTCTGGATGAGCTTCCTGTAAGACTTGAATGCTGCATCCTTGAAGTTCACGTGCCATGGTATTGAGATGCAACAGGTGTGTGCTGAATCCAGATTGGAAAAAACTGAGCAGAGGAATGGCATCACCGTGGACGGACTTTAGATCCAGCTCTGCACAAATCTGTTGCTGAAGGTTCTCCAGTGTTTCAGTACACAAGCAGGAGATGGTCGCAAACCTCCCACTCATGAGGTAAACGCTGAAATCCACAAAATCCATTGACCCGCCTGTCCACGGCAATGCCGACGTCCACACACGCTTCAAAAGAAACCTGTGTTTCGAACGCACACTGAGACTCAACGTTCGCTTGACTGGGCTTCTGGAGCCCCAAACGGCTCAAGTTATTGCTCAACATGACTACTTAGAACTTAGGACGATTGATTTGCGGACCTTTGGTATTTTGGTTGCTGGACCTTCCATGAAATCCACTCCAGGGTGACATGAAAACGTAGCTGGACCGTTGGGGACAGGAATTCGTTGAGCGCTTTCCAAAAACCATTTGTCCCCTTGTCGGATGAACGGTTTCATCGTCTCATGCCATTTCTCCTGTCATGAGCCGGTGTAGTTGGATAATGTTCTTTTGTGCTGTTTCCCCCTTGGGACTTTGCGAATTTAACAAGCAAATTTAACAAGCATGTCTTCTCTTCCCGTATGCAAACAAATATACAAAGCAAAAGTGACATAGAAATAGACCCAAAGGAACCCAAAGTGCATCAAGTGTTCCGGTAATCCTTGTAGCTAAAAACAATAGTATAATAAAAACAATGATGTTAGCAAGACGGATGAGGAAGACATTGCGGAAACAAGCCCATATCATTTCATGTTCATGTGGCAATCTTTGAAGGACGATATATTGGAGAAATTCCTGCCCCCCAAAGAAAGGCCCGACTGGACTCCGCACACAACGATTTGGTGTTCTTTTCTAAAGAACTGGCTCTCATCAGGCCATTGTTCGCACATGTGTTGAGGTGTTGGAGGGAATTCCCATAAACTATGCAATTGATGAAGTAGATATTATAGTGTACGTTTGACCAGTACGTGCAAAAGATGCTCTTCTGAAACATGAGCACTTTGTTCTTTTGGAGAGCCCAAACCCCTCCGGCTCAGCCCGTCCTGCTTCAGTGGCCACAAATCTGCATCTGCCCGGGAAAAGAACGGGGCCCCTCCGGAGGGGGAACGTTGCAAGTTGTTGCGCTGACCGGCATAAAGACAGACCGGCACTGTTGGCTTTTCGAAGTCGGCTGCTTTCGCCGATTGCTTAGGGCCCAAGAGTTCAGGTGAAAGATTGTGTCAGAAAACTACTTCAGAGTTCAGTCCCTCAAAGATCTGCAATGAAAAATTGGAACCCATGAGAGGAGCCCCCCAAAATCGGCCGAACAGGGGGAGAGTCCCAGATCCAAAGCAGCTCTTGTGCTTCGATCTAGCTATGTCCTGATGGAGCCAGTGGCATGGTCAGAATGGCGGCGCTCTGCCGTGCAAACCGTGCGAAAGCTCATGCAACCCGCGAACTTCAGAAGCTGTCATCTCTTGGGCGAGGCCACCATCTCTTGTTTGATCTCCCGCATAGATCCCCCAACAAACGACCAAATTTGCTTGGAAGAAGCCACTTTGTCCAAGTTAATCTTCTCATTTCTCTTTTCGTAGACTGTCTGGACGTGTCTGTAACCTATCCTCACCTGGAGCCTCCAGGACGCCTCATGGAGCCTCATGGAGCTTCGCAGACTCAATCACTTACAGATGCTTACAATATATATATATATATAGAGAGAGAGATTGGGTTGGTGTGATCGGCTTGGGAGCACCGATGAGTGTGAACCCTCCGAAGGCGATTTCAAGCGCGTAAAATGCAATTCCCCAAAGCGATCGTGAGAAATGGCTTGTTCCCTCGTGCTGTGCGGAGCGAAAGACATCTGCAGACATGTGAAAACACCGTCATGTGACACCGTCTGCCTCACCGGAGAGTCCAACCGTTTTCAAACAAACCGTCGTTGGGTTCGACCTGGGAGCCAACCGTGAGTTGCTTCAAAAGCAGAGTCCGAGTCGAAACGTGAAACCAGCAGAGTCCGGGTGGGGTTTCATTGAGTCGAAGGGTTGGACGATCGAAGGATCTACGCCCAACAAAGCACTTCATGGAACCGGTTCCCACTGGAGACCACTGTAGAGCATCCTCATATCGTCATCCATGCCAAGCCCAGCTCCATGTGCATCTTCCCGGGTTTCGGCACCGCAAGTGCCGACCTCTGGATGCCCTCACATCACATCCAGAAACGATTTAGCTGATATTGTACTGAGACATTCCATAATCGAACAAAGAACCCCATTATTGTTGAGGTCAGAGTCCAGTCCCATTCAGTGTCTCAGAGTAGGTCTGAGACCATATTTCTGGGTCCGTCCATTAGGTTCTACTACCTGCGTGGCCAACGGCCACTTCCCAACATGTGCAAAGGATCTGCAGCAGAAAAAAAGTGGCAAAACCCTGCGACGTTCGTTACCTTCGAATTCCTGGCACTTTTGCGCGAACAGAAACCGTGCGACCGTGGTCTCGCCGTTTTTCACCCCGATCCGCGGCGGTCGGTCGGTCGCCACCCCTTTTCGTTCACTCCGGCAAGCTCTCAGCACCTGAGGCGTTTCAGTCGCCGACGGGAACGAAGACGGGGTGACTTGGGAGAAGTGAGAGTATGTTCAGTGTTGGTTCTGAGGCCACAAGGATGCAGTGGTTCTTTTGCCTCGCAGTTATCCCAGTGATCGCTTAAAGAAACTGATGTGAGCCGAGTCGCATGTGCTTTCGTGTCAACATCAATGGGTCAATGGCTGTTGTGAGGCTTCAATCTCCTCAAATTTAGGCTAGAGATTAGCGTCTGCAACAAATGCGGGTACTTTGGCTGACCCTGACCAGCTCGTGTTTCTTCACCTCTGCAACAAACACATCTTCCATCTTCCAACTTCGTGCAGAACCCCTGCAAAATCCGGTGAAGAAAGCTTCAGCAGCGAGGGCCTTCCCGTGGACTGCTCCATTTGAGACTCTCCGATCTCTTTGGGTTGGGCAGCAACGTCTTCACTCCATTCATTTCTTACATAAAACATGCGGCCTGTGAACGACATGCTCTGCTCGCATGCCCAGCGGGTGTGACACCAGCCGCGTCACAGTTGGCAAGGATGACATAGGATTACCATCCGATACAAACTTCCAGTGCTCTGGATGCAAATCAGCAAAGCACCCGCCAAGTCAAAAGGCCAACTCATCTAAACGGTCCTAAAATCCATGGCCTCCCCCTGAGCCGCCGGGCACGGCGCCTGCGGCAAATCCCGAAGCCCAAGCCCATTGGAAGTTGTAGCCTGAAAGGGATGGGTTTGATCAAGCCCTTGGGGGGCTTCTTGGCAAGTCTCAAGCTTGTCTCACTGGTTGTTTCAGCAACTGAAAATCCCCGATGACCAAGGCACGGGTGGAAAGCAAGTGCGAGAAAAGGTTCAAATTACACAATGTTATTTTTTCCGATGTTCACACGATAGAAGTGGTTCCAATGGTCCTTGGAAACCGAGGAAACTCTCACAGCCTCTACTATCCAAGCTCTGCACCACTCACAGTGGATTATGACGGTAGTAGGATGCTCCTCCACCAAACATCGTGAAAACAGGAATTGCTGACTCTTGGTGGTGAGGGCACAGACCCCGAATTCTGTCTTGGTCTGCCATCTCTACAGCCATCGTCTATATATAACTATAATATATTAATAAACCCAAGAAATCTGTGCCTCTTGCCTCTCCCCCGATATTTTCGCGCGAGAGCGTGACTTCAGTGCCTCCCAACCAACCAGTCACATCAACTGCCTCACGAAAGTGCCAAGCGCGGCCAAGTGCCAAACTCTTCTTGGAAAGGGATCCAACTAGGAGCTCCGAAGAACTAGGAAAGCGTCGAACCAGCTTCCCCAACGAACGGAGAGTGCAGGAGTTCTTCCGGCATTGAACGGCACCGGCCCAAGCTTTGAGAAAAACCACTCTGCAGGATCTACGAAAACGCAGAAGAAAAACGGAGTCAACATGTCTCGCTGACCAAATGCCGCAAAACCCTGGATGGTGGGAATGGAGCATGAAACCCTATGGGTCACAAATCATTTATGATGTTCATGCACCAAACCACGTGAAGTCAGGGCAACAAAATGATTTCACATTCTTTCATGTCGCCTTATGCCGTGCGACCATGCGATCGCGACCGTTGGCCTCACCAATGAAATAGAGGCCCGGGTGCTTCTTGCACTCCATCGTCTCATCCTCATTCCGTTTCGCGTCCGTGGTCCACCGGCTTTTGGGCAAACCCCGTCGGTCTTGGCTAAAGCAGTCTTTTGTTCAAGTGACCATCACGGAGGGCATAAGATTGTGCCAAAAAAGGATTGTGTTCTTTTGCGAACAAAGGTCAGGATTCTTGGGTTCTTGTCAGTCAAACTGCTTGTTGAGAGTAGCCGTAAAAGTGGAACGCATCATCGACAAAACATCGCTACCATTCGCTGCCTTGTCGGAGCCATCGGCACTTCTGTACAACTCTGCAGCAGCTTACACAATTGCACAATGGATTCCTGAATCACGATGTAGAAACAGCATTGAGGCTCATCCCACTTTGTACTTTGATGTACTTTGTACAATCACCCAACATATCCCACCACAACAAAATACGTTGTTGTTCAACATACATTCTACTAGGAACAAGGACGCTACTAGGGGCTCCTGGCCGTACTACTAGGAGCATCCTTACTACTAGGAGCAAGAAGATCTCCCCAGTTTTCGCCGGTTTTTGTGGCTCCCTGAGACTTCGACGGAGAGTTCCTGCGTGCTGACCCCACCACAGGTCACTTCGGCCTCAGGGCTCCGACATCGGCGAGTGAACCAGGGAGACTGGAGACAAATCTTCCTGTTCTCTCATGCGTGAAAAGGAAAGGGAATTGTTGGAGGCCTTTGTTCGGGCCTTTTTGCGCAAGACCGCATGCTCTTGCGGGTGTGATTCTTGACCCCAGTTGCTGCTTCCATCATAGTGGTCTGTTCCAATTCTGACATTTGCGAACAGAGCCTTGGCCTGGACAGTACTAGACCATCCTATAGTGCTTCCTAATCTCTGCAGTTGGCCCCGTTCTCTCCTGCCTTCGGATAGCCCTCAGTTCCAATGACACTGACCTGCAGCAACCCGCGGCCCGCAGCCCGCAGGTCACGCTGCTTCTGCGCGAAGGTTTGAACGACTCAGCGACTCTCCACCTAAAATCGTGGATTCCGTACGGTCAAGCGAAACCAAATCAAAGGTGTTGGGGACCCGGTACCCTTAATGGAAAGGGATGCAATCATGTTGTGGGTACCGGCGCCACCTGCGCCAGTCCTTCATTCGCTTTCCGACCTCCCCACGGCTGAAGAGCCTGGGACCACGGTCCGACGCCGAGAGGCAGGACCACCAGAGGTCTCCTCTCCCCATCCGACTCCCGACAGGCAGACCTCCCAAGACTTCAAGAGGGCTGCCAAGTCCTTCAAGGACGAAATCTCCAAGTCCTGGGAAGAACAGGCTCACGAGAATCATCAGATCCAGGTCTTGACTCAAAAGCCAGAACAACCAAACACTGGGGCAAGAACGCATGATGGGAAAGAACAAACGCTGCACTTGCAATTAGCAAGCTGAATTTGTCCCAATTGCTTTGACCCCTCACTTTCTCATTCAACCACTTGCTTTTGCTCCACTTTCCCCTCTGGGATTCAAGGGTTTATGTTTCAACCACTCAGCGAATTTCTGTCAGCGTGCCCCAGGCAGGCGACGGAAGAATCCCACACACATACACACGCACGTGCAAAAGAAGCTGACTGTCCTTTGTCCATCAGGATTGAGATTTCATCCATTGAATCACTTCCATTTCACTTCCAATTGGATTGGGTGAGATTTCAATCACTCCCTCATCCCCCTTGTCTTCCACTTTGATCCCCTTTGAAAAGAAAGGCACCTTCTTCTCGAAAAGCTCTTCTTGGCTGCAGGGTTTAGGTGACATCCGCGTTAGAAATGGGGTAGAGGACCTGTGGCCGGGACGGTCTATAAGACCTACGAAGAGCGAAAACGCTTCCCGAAAAAAGCCGCCGACCGAGAGGCTCTGTTTGCAAGCAAAAGGAAGTTTGGACCGAGAAAGGAAGGCGGAACACATTTGGGGGCTGTGTAGGGAGCTGAAAACAATCATCCCAAAAAGCATCTGTTGTATTCTCTTCGTCCTTCTTGCACTCGCTGGCAAGGCAAAATTTGCAAATCCATGCAACCTTCTGCCTGGACTTCAAGCACTGAATTCGAGCAACAAAGCTGAGCTTACACGTTCAGAAACTGTACAACTCTCTGAAAAAAGAAGTGCTACAGCTCCTTCGTTAAATGATGCGGATGTCCCTCTGCAATATTCTCATCGTGTAGAATTTCACATGGTTTGCCAACGACGTCTGCATCTACCGTGGTTGTGTACTCCTGCAGCCCGCAAAGACGTACACTACACCCAATGAAGAAGGCCATGCAGAAGCTACAAACCACAACGATGAGCAGCATTACCCAGAATCCCAATGCAGAACTTGCCTGTTGCCACCAGCTGGTTGGCAACACCGGACAGCTACTGTGATCAAAATGCGTGTTGGCCTCGAAGTAGGAAAGGGCACCCCTCTCCGCTTGGATCTTGAGTTGGAGCTCCACAGCCTCCACGGAGCCACAGGACAGCAAAACGAAGTGCCAGTCACGCACACCCGTCTTCTGCAGCACCTTGACCACAAAGGCTTGGCCTCGAGTCCCGAGCTTCGTGGAAGAGTCCCAAGCAACTGCCATCTGCCACTTGTCCTCGCAGGTGGTCCGGTTCCTTGCTGCAGAAGCGTCGAAAGTCAGTGTAAACATGTTCAGATTATGAAATGATGAAACTTTAAGTTGCAAATGATCAAACCAAAAAGCCCTTATATAAATGTCATCATTTCAGCCTAAGGCTCCATGTCTCACTGGCTACACCCCAGCGATCCTCCCTTCCATCAAAGCCGACCAAGTAGACACTCGCATCTTCAAGCGGCCTAGAGCCTTTCCAGTCTACTTGCACCTTCAACCTAGCCACATTGCTGTCATCCTGTCCAAAGCAGAAGCCACCCAAGTGCCAGTAGCCACCGGCCTTCAAAGTCACCTCTGCCTCAAGGCTAGGATAGTTTATGCTAAACTCTGCTGCAACTGCCACTATCAGCAGAAATGGAAGGACGGTCACCATGGTGGCTGGCCAATTACGGGGCATGGCCTTAGTAGGCAGACCCGGACACAAAATGTCTATATCTATAGTACATAATACAGTATGTATGTGTTGCCTGTAGCGGTTTGAAAGTGTCTGCCATCTACTGCACGGGTCTATGTCATGTTTTGCAGCTTCCGTCTTGGTCGGAATGCTGCAGACGGGGTCGTGTTTGTTCAAGGTTGGACGTGTTTACAATGGCCAAGGCATGAGAAGGAGCACGAAAGGAGTTGTTGCAACGGGTTGCAGCAGGGTCCGAACCATCAAGGAATACCAGGATACCATGCCTTCCCAAGCTGTTCGATGTCACTTTCTGCCGGGTCCGAAGAAACCACTCCGAAAACCAGTCGTCCGCATCCACGAAAGCGCCATTTCCTTCGGTTTGGACCGACGACCATGACTACCAGCCGTTCGGCACTGGAGCATGGGGCATGTTCAGGTGAAACGTATTCTTTGGCTAGGCCAAAAACAACATGCCCGAAGCGGCAAATCGATTGGTGGGGCGCTTTTGTCGCCCCACATTCACGAAGGAAGAGCTCATGTCGTGCAGGTTCGGCATGCTTCTTCCCGAGGAGCTCGTGCCGTTCTGGAGATCTTGAATCAGCTGATCCTTGAATGTCTGTTGCTTTCTTCGTGTGCATATTGTCCAGGTGGGCACCTGGAGGTTCTGCGCACCCAAGGACTCGCGGGACTTCTTCACCCTCTTCACATAATCCACGAACTCATAAATGTCAATGCCATCCCCGTCACGGTCCAGAAAGTGATAGAAATCCTGGTGAGCAAAGAAAAAAATGGAACGAAGAGGGGCGAATGCCGCGCGATAAGCAAAGTTGAAATATGCATGGGGGAACTACAGAATTATGATTTAAAAAATAAATAAATAAATAGAGAACCGAACATGGCAAACCAAAGCTACAAAAATCTGGGAAATGTCCTTGAGATCCATCGGCATTATGTCCCAGTGGGAAAGCATGAGCCTTCCACGAACAAATTCTTCGAACTCAAATAATGACACCTCAGTGGAGCAATCTGAGATTCTTGTTAGCTTTTGGAATCCACACTTCAACAAATGTGGTCCCTCACCCTCAGACCACCTGAGCCTCCATTCTAGGCTGCCCGCTCTAGGCTGCGGTGGATGACCTTTTCGTCTCCATATGCCGGGCCGTTCATTGGTCCCAGGTCAGGCCACGGCGGCCACACCCACCCGGAGAGACGCCGTCGCGGTGCTGCTCCGAGACGCCCGATTGGAAGAGTTCAAGTCGATGCGCTGGAACAAGCGACGGGGGTCGAGGTTGGTGAGATCCAACTTCCTCAGCTCGAGACCCTTCGAAAAAGTCCATGTATGTATATATATATATGGAAGAAACATGTACATGTTGGACAAAGGGAAACACTGAGACGAGTGACGATTGGAAGAAGATAGATGAAAATGGAAAAGGGTTCCCATGGGTTCCAACATGTTCCCACTATCACTATCTAGCGGTCAAGAAGATGATTGATGAAGACTTCAAGGCGACCAAAAAGATACTCTCCCAACGGAGCTGAAAAATGTTGAAATGAGATCCCCGTGTGGATTTTGGGATAAGGGTTGGGGCCCCATTCTATAGGTACAAATCGGGCCTGCCTGCTCCAGGTCTACAGAATAGCTGAACTGACGCCCCACCAGTCTACAGAATGAATGGCCTTCTGAAATAAGGCCTTCTCATCTGGCAAGATTGAACATTGCAAAAACATGCAAAAACACAGTGTGTTTGATGATTTGAGATTTGGGCAAGATGACATGGCTGACACTGGAATTCTATTCTGTAGAGAGGGCTATGTTGGGATAGTCAAACGTCGTGCAATGTATTCTGTAGACATGTTTTCTCTTTCTCTGTCAGTTTGTAGAAAAAACGTGCCTCCCACCCACTCTTTCGACTCTGACATCTCTCAATGCTTTTCCTCTCTGCACACACTGGTCTGTCTGTCACACACACTACGCTTGGCACCATCCATCCCCGATTGATGGCACAAACCGGCTGATTGCTCTACAGATTGATGGGACAGAGACATCTCTATAGAATACTGAGCCTTCTTATGACCTTTCACATAGATCTTCTACAAAATACTTTCTGGGGGGTCCGAGTACTTCTCTATAATATGAGCCGCCCGACGTCCAAATGCAGAACATGTTTACATCTACAAAATACAAGGACATAGATACATTTTACTTCGCCCAACGTCCATTTCTACAAGTTCGAAGGCCCCGACGTTACAAAAATACGTTACAACTTTCTAGAATTGCGTTTTATAAGGACCTTCAATCAAGGCCCTCTAAATTGTAGAGGTAATTCACACCGGGACAAAATGAGGGGATTCCTTTGTACAGAGGTGAGCATTCACTTTCCCGATGGGCTGGTGTTGGCCCCGTCTTTGAGATGCAAACTGAATGACTCCGAATGACCATCCGATTCCCATGTCAGAAGTGCTGAGGTCAGACGTCAATCGCTGTGAGCCAGAAGGACACATTGACAGATCCAGAAGACCACAGCGACTCAAACACCTAAACCTCAGGTATGCTGCTAAGGTGCCTGTGGCTACCTCTTGGGTCCTGGGAGCCTTCTGGCCAGCTCTGGTTAGCATCTCCTGTGTACCCATCAAAAGCTCTAGCCATACCTGGCACCTTCCAGTCAGGTCTCAAGAAGGCCATCATGATGTTGCGTCGCACCCGCTCCACGCGCTGCTTGGCCCGCGCTTGCAGCACCGCCGGCTCCATCTCCCCACGCGCCAAGTAGTGCAGCAGCTCACCTGACAGACGTTTTCAGTATACGGAGAGCCGGGAAATCCCAAAACCCTCCGAATCTCCAATTCGAGAGAGACGGCACCAAAAAAAAAATGTGAAAAGAAATAGAAACCTTTTCAGCCCAATTATGACGTGAGCACGTCCGACTCGGACGTGCTAACGAAGCGAACCCATCCCTGGTCGCCGGTAGGCGGTCGAAAGCCTCGTTTCTCGGAGCCAAACCCCGACCGCACCACCGCCATCGACCGGAGCCCACCAACCTCGCTTGGGGCCCAAGCGGCTGAGATCCACCAGCTCGCCACCTTTTAAGCCCAGACCAGGTCGGTCTTCCACCTGCGGAACGGCATCCGGCGGAACCAGGTGAGGGTTTGATTTGCAGAATCGAGGGGTCAGCATCACCAGTACTCAGTGTCACCGATGTACGACATCCGACCGGGGAGCTAGTATACCGACTCTATAGTCCTCATATGTATTCATCCAACCAACGAACAAATATCTATGCGAGGGATCAACGTACTCACGACCTCGCTGCGAAGGGATTTGGGGGGACACGGATGTCGCGAGGACGTCGCAAGGACTCCGAGGTCGGACTCCGGGGCCTGGTCCAAGCGGCGAAAGAGCTGCCGCAAGTCAGCATCACAAACCTGCCGACATCCGAAGAACAAGAAGACCTCTGAGGTGACATCTGCGATGTTAAAATCCCGACCGGAATACAAACTTCAGCCACTCTATATAGGATGTCTGGGATTTTTTTCTTTTGAAAAAATCATATACCAGCATAGACCCCAAGCAGCGTCAGCATTTTTTCGGCGTCGGCGTCAACTCCGAAAATTCAATGTTGGTGGAAACCAAAGCAAGTATACTTTTCTAAAGCCTCCAGCTGTTTGGGAACTGCACGCCCGGACACAGAGCCGAGACACAGAGCCCAGCCACAGAGTTCAGGGACGCGGCCAAGACAAGGACATGAGGAGGACAAGACCCGGACACAGAGCCGGGCCACAGAGCCCAGCCACAGAGTTCAGGGGCGCGGCCACAAGGACAAGAGGAGGACACAGAGCCGGGCCACAGAGCCCAGCCAGACAAGGACAAGAGGAGGACAAGGCCCGGACACAGAGCCCAGCCACAGAGTTCAGAGGCGCGGCCAGTGAGTGTGGCCAGCTCTAATTTTCTAAGATAGAACCCCAACAGTAAACTGTTTGGGGAAAAAACACATATGATGTGAATGCTGCAAACAAAAAGAGCAAAATGGATCTCCCTTCTGCTTCGAAACCGCTTCTTGAGGGACTCCCAAGGTCTCCCTCGCCAGGTGCTTGAACTCTTTCCAATCCAACGTGCCAGACTTGTCGCGGTCGCAAAAGGCAAACAGCCTCGCAGAGGTCCGTTCCGTGCGGTCGGCGGGATCGGAACATCCGTTCGACCAGGAACTCCCGGTGGGACTCGGTGGCAATCGGACCTAATGTTGGTTAAAGGGCAAAGGGTATTGTAGTGCTGACTTCTTTCATCTTCGGACTGTTACAGGGCAATGAAACTCGGGTCAGGCAAAGGTCTGTTCTCTCGTCTGCAAGAGGGTTAGGTTCTGTCGTGATCATACTTCTTACTGGGGCTGTTCGAAAAGAAACTGGAAAGCATGACGGAGTTTCCAGCTAACGAACGACAAATTCTACCAGCGAATGATGCACAAAAAGAGAGCAGCGAATCAACCGTAGGAAGGCTCTGACGAATCAACCACTCAAGGCAACACACAAGCGAATCACACAAGCGAATCACACAAGCGAATCACACAAG